GCTGGTGGGCATCATTTTTGCACTGTCACTCTACCTTGCTTGTAGGTGTTCCCCAGCCCTGCACTCTCCTGTGGTCCCGCTAAAGCCAGCAGGCACGCTGTAGCCTCACACTATCCCGTGGCCCTGTTCAAACCAGCAAACACACATAGTCCACACACAAGACACCCCTTGAGCAGTTGGCTCAGGGGTCCAGGGGGGTTTGCATTTCTGGGCCCCATGGGATTGAAATAATCAGAGAGACAGTTCTTGGCAGGCTACCATCCCCAGGCCATAGCACAGAAAGCAGACTGAAACATCTACATCTTCCTCGGAAGAACACCTATTTTACTTGTCCTGGAATTTCAGCCAGAGGGGCAGGCTTCAGGACTGCCACATATCCAGAGGCTACATAGGCCAGAGGTTGCCATCTTTGTGCTCTCCCTTGCCTCACTACAGCTTGCCAGTACCTTCAAGAAAGGAGTTTATACACTTGTCTGGAACCCCAATTTTTATAAGTCAGCAAGGGAACACCTTTACATGGACTTGTCTGGAGGCCAACAGGGTTTACAATATATATTTGCATCCTTTAAAAATTGGTGCCTGAGCTTCCAATCAGCATGAAACTAGGTGTTAACTGGGATCCCTCCCTTTGGAACACTGGCAGGATTGGCACAATTTCAACAATTGGGACTGATCAAGAATAAATCACGTTTCTTAGGCAATCACGGAGGTTTCAGAGACAACCAAGAGCTAGGTCAGGGTTGAATGAAGGTTCATCTTCTACACAAAGCCACTCATTCAGGACTGGGAGAGAAAGCTGTTTTTCCCAATACATAGCAACAAACATAGTCAAGCAAAATGAAGAAACAAAGAATATGTTCCAAACAAAAGAATACCATAAAACCTCAGGAAAAAAACCTTAATGAAACAGAGATATTTAATTTACTTGATAAAGAGTTCAAAATAATGGTCATAAAGATGCTCACCAAACTCAGAAGAAGATGAATAAAAATAGTGAGAACTTCAAAGAGAGATAGAAAATATAAGAAAATACCAACAGAAGTCATAGAGCTAAAGAATATAATAATTCAACCGAAGAATACACTAGAAAGGTTCCGCAGCAGACTAGATGAAGCAGAAGAAAGGATCAGTTATCTTGAAGACAAGGCAGTAGAACTCAACCAGTCAGAGCAGCAAAAAGAAAACAAATCAAAAACCAAAGATAGCTTAAGGAACCTATAAAACAACATCAAACAGAACAAAATTTGCGTCATGGAAGTCCCAAAAGGAGAACAGAGTGAGAAAGGGACGGAAAAATGTATTTGAAGAAATAATGGCTGAAAACTTCCCTAACCTGGGGAAGGAAACAGACATCCAGGTCCAGTTAGTCCAGAGAATTCCAAATAAGAGGAACCCAAAAACAGCCACATCAAGATACCTTATAATTAAATTTCAAAACTTAAAGATAAGAAGAGAATTGTAAAAGACAGAGAAAAAGAACTTGTGACATGTAAGGGAATGAACAAATGAAAATGGAACTGTAACACACCAAAATCTATGGGTTGCAGCAAAAACAGAAGGAGAAATTAAGAAAACAACCCCACTCACAACTGTTTAAAAAGAATGAAATATCAAGAAACAAATTTAACCGAGGAAGTGAAAGAGTTTTATACTACAAACTCTGAGACATGGACAACTAAATGAAAATATATTTCATGTTGATGGATTGGAAGAATTAATATTGTTAAAATGTCCATATTACCCAAGGGAATCTACAGAATCCTTGTAATCCCTATCAAAATTCCAATGGCATTTTCACATAAATGGAACAAACAATCCTAAAATTTGTATGGAAACACAAAGGATCCTGAATAGCCAAAGCAACCTTGAGAAAGAAGAACAAACCTGGAGGCATCATACTCTCTGATTTCAAACTATATTACAAAGCTGTAGTAATCAAAATAGTATGGTACTGACATAAACACAGGCACATAGATCAATGGAACACAACATATAGCCCAGAAAGAAACCCATGTATTTATGTTCAGTCAATTAATTTAGAATAAAAGAGCCAAGAATATACAATAGGAAAGGCAGTCCAGAATAGATGCTGTTGGGAAAACCGGACAGCTACACAAAAGAATGAAATTAGAATCTTAGACCACGCACAAGAATTAACTTCAAATGGATTAAAGATTTGAATGTAAGACCTGAAACCATAAAGCTCCTATAAGAAAAGAAGGTGGAAAGCTTTTAGACATAAGTCTTGGTCACGACTTTTTGGATTTGACTCCAAAAGCTAGGGCAACAAAAGCAAAAAATAAACAAGTTAGGGCTACCTCAAACTAAAAACAAAACAAACAAAACTTCTGTACAGTGATAGAAACCATCAACAAAATGAAAAAGTAACCTTTTGAATAGGAGGAGGTATTTGCAAATCATATATCTGGTAAGGGGTTAATATCTAAAATATGTAAAGAGGGGTGCCTGGGTGGCTCAGTCAGTTAAGTTTCAGCTTCTTGCTTTCAGCTCAGGTCGTGATCTCATGGGTCATGAGATGGAGCCCTATGTCAGTCTCTGCACTCAGTGAGGAGTCTGCTTGAAGATTCTCTCCCACTGCCCCTCTCCCCACTCAGCTCCTTCTCTCTCTTTAAAGTAAATAAACGAATCTTAAAAAAAACAAAAACAAAATATATAAAGAACTCATACATCTCAATAGCAAAAAACCAATCTAAAAATGGGCAGAGGATCTGAACAAACATTTTCCCACAGCAGACATACAGATGGCCAACAAGCACACAAAAAGATGCTCAATATCACTAATAATCAGTGAAATGCAAATCAAAATCACAATGAGAGATCACCTCACACCTGGTAGAATGGATATTACCAAAAAGATAAGAAATAATAAGTGTTGGGGAGGATGTGGAGAAAAGGGAAACTGTGCAGTGCTGGTAGGAATGCATATTGGTACAGCCTCTATGGAAAACCGTATGGTGTCGCCTCAAAAAATTAAAAAAAAATACATATGATCCAGCAATTCCATTTTTGGGTATTTATTCAAAGAAAATAAGAACACTAATTCAAAAAGGTCTAAGAACCCCCATTTTGTTGCAGCATTATGTACAGTAGCCAAAATATAGACGCAACCTAAGTTTCCATCAGTTAATAAATGGACACACACACACACACATGCACACATACACACAGAATGGAATACTACTCAGCTTTAAAAGGGAATGAAATCTTGCCATTCACAACAACATGAATAAACCGTAAGGGTATTACACTAAGTGAAATAAGCTGGACAGAGAAAGACAAATGCGTTACGATTTCACTTACATGTGGAATCTTAAAAACAAAAGAAATGAACAAACAAAACCAAGCAAAACTAATAGATGCAGAGAATATATTGGTGGGTGCCAGAGGGGAGGAGGATTAGGATGGGGGAAATGGGTGAAAGGGATTAAGAAATACAAACTTATAGTTATAAAATAAATCATGGGGATGTAATGTACAGCATGGTGACTGTAGTCAGTAATATCCTATTGCATATTTGAAAGCTGCTAAGAGAGTGTATCTTAAAAGTTCTCTTCACAAGAAAAAAAGACTGTAACTTTGTATGGCTACATATGGTACCTAATTGTGGTGATCACTTTTAAGTGTATATATATATATACATATAATCTTTGTGTTACACACCTAAAACTAATATGACATAATATGTTAATTATTGCTAAAAAAAAGAATGATGCTAAAATTCTACCAATGTGTAGAAGACACAACTTGAAACTTTGAATCATTTTTATTTTTCTGTGTAAAATCATTTACCCTCTATGAACGTCATTCCCTCAATGCTTCATAGAATAATGTTTACTATTCAACACATTAACATGTAAGAAACTGATCTGTGAACTTTAGTGTAATATAATCATTATTTTTTTTTAAAGATTTTATTTATTTGAGAGAGAGAGAATGAGAGACAGAGAGCATGAGAGAGAGGAGGGTCAGAGGGAGAAGCAGACTCCTTGCTGAGCAGGAAGCCCGATGTGGGACTCGATCCCGGGACTCCAGGATCATGACCTGAGCCGAAGGGAGTCGCTTAACCAACTGAGCCACCCAGGCGCCCCTATAATCATTATTGTAGTACCATTTATTGAGTGTCATTTGTCAGCATATGTTAAGAGTATTAGGTAATATCTCACTTAATTTTTATAACGAGCTTATAAAGTAAATATACTTACTATACAAATGACACAGGGTGATTATATTATATATCCATAGTAACACAGCTAACAGATAAATAATACATTCTTTTTATTCCTAAGTAATAGATATGATAAGAATGCTAGGTCTTGTTGAGGACAAATTCATGTGATCTCATTATTTGTCCATGACTGATCTGCTCATTGTCCTTTCCAATTCCGACTGGCAGGTGCCAATGGAACGATCTCTCTCACAGAGTTCTCATGTTGTAATATATTTTTAATCTTATGTATTGTCTTTACAAAAATCAATAAACTTTCATAAAGCATTTGACAACTTGATGGATTTTAAAATAGTTGTATTTCATCATGAAAAGAAAAAAATATCTATTCTTCTTTATTCATATTCATATGCTGAACTATTTAATCCTCATGTAAGGAGGGTGGATATAAAAGTTCTAGAAACAACATTAAAATATAAATGGAACACAAGGACTCCACTGGGAGGAATTCACTTTGCTTACAAAGAAGAACTGTACTTTGTATAAAGATGATTTCCCGAAGCAGTCAGTGTATGCCAACGGAAAAGACTAAAAGATACTCAGTGGGAAGACGGTCTCCATTTATTTTATTCATACAAAACCATTTATAATTTTTTAAAACTCCTTATTCCATTTTTAGTTAGCATCCAGTCAGGAAGCTAAAAGTTTACTTTGTGTTCTATTTCCTCTTAGGATTCCAAGGCCATAGGAAATGCTGTGACTAACTATATGAAAACAGGACCCAGAGTTGACAATAAGGTTTAGTTGGTGTTACCTCATTTATAATGATCCAGTGACAGTCAAAAGCAACCAAATTAGTCTCCACAACCTAGAACAGAAAACAAACCAGCTATCAGTCAGCATTAATAGTGAAAACCAAACCAAACCAAATGAATATACTTGCAAATGGCAAAAAAACCTCATATCACATTAGAAAGATCTTTGTTATTAAATAAAAGATGGAAAACTGTTAGCTGAACATCATAGAAGCATTTGTGTTTGACGTGTAGATGCACTGTAGACTTGCTAATTAAGTTTGAAAATAAAATTCATCACAAGCCTAGAAAAACAGGTTTCAACTAAAAAAATAAATAATACCACATAGCGATTTAACTGGGAGTGTAGTTCAAAACACATTTCCTATTCCAAATAAACTTTGATGGCTTTCTATTATCTAAGTACATATCCCTCCACAATCTGGCTCTAACTTAGCATTCTTATCTTCTGCTATTTCTCTGTGTATATGCTTGCTATTTTCTCAGAGTAAACTGCTCAGTGTTCTGAAACGCTTTGTGCTGTGTTCTCCAAGGAGATTCAATTGTAAAATCATTTGAATGTAAAAACTAAAAGCAATAAACATTATATTAGCATTAAGTTATGGGTGAGTAACTTCAGTAGCTTTTAGCTTGCTAATTACATAAACAAACAATTTATGCAAAAGGAAAAGCAAACAATATATAGGGGGCAATCTTGACTGACTAACTTTGAATAAATTGATTCCAAATGAACATATCCCTCTTGGGCTAAAAAAGTAAGCTGGGGTACACATACGTGTGTGTGTGGAATATGTGTGTGTTTGTGTGTGTGTGTGTGTGTGTGTGTGTGTAGTAAACGTAGCTTCTGTATCACTTTCCATATCCAATCTTACACATATTTTAAGGTATGTTCTTATGACTCACACCATGGGGCATACAGTCATATATTAGGTGAGACTGTTTTGTAAAAGATTATTCTCATATTTTCAGCAATAATGCCCAAAGATTGGGTTTTAAGTGATGATGCTTTCTAATAACTATTAAGAAGTTGTTATAATATGGTGATTGTGTTTTGCTGGTTATTCTTCCTCCAACTGATAAATGACTGTTGAAAGATGCACTGAATCATGAGAAATACAATTGGAAATATATTTCTTGTATGATTCAGTGTTTTCTGAAAGGATATAGTTACTTTCAGAATCTTTGTTTTTTAATTTTGGTATAAATTTTGTACTATCAATAGGTATCACATCGGTCCCTATGAATTTACTGAAGTGTATAGATAACACATTATCATAGAAGTGAAGAAATGTTATTTATTTTTAAGTTATATCATTATTATCATTTTTTGAAATAAATATATTTTCAATTTATATGTGAAACAATGTAGAAAACATGACTGGCAGTTCTCAGTTGTAGAAATCACTTTTAACATTAATGACAGCACTTATTTCTAATTTTATGATTATATTTCTTCAATTATCTTAGACAAATCATCACTAATTTATTAGCAATAAAAAGTACTGGAAAATAGGCAGGAACTCCATAAGAATTTAAAGAAATACAAACCAGAGATTCTGATATAAGGAAAGTAGTTCTCCAGATAAAATAGAGAGAAATATGTTTTTTATAAAAGCCCATGACTAAAAGAAGCATGACCAAAATACAGAAACAGCAAGAATACAAAGAGAAACGAAAGCCAAAATATAGATTGAAAGAACTACTGAAGCAATATCAGCCATAGAGTGAGGAGACGACTCAGTTTAGCTTAAATTGTCTTCATTTTGATAATCTGTACCATTTGGACAGATTAAGCAACATTCAGGCTCTAAGAACTCTTCATTAACCCGTGGACCTTTTTTTTTTTTTTTAAGATTTTATTTATTTGACAGAGAGAGACA